ATCTGTACAAGTGAGCATATGGACTTTAGATAGAGAGAGCTGATCTGGAGCAGATCAATATTATGGCCGCTATCTGTTACTTGCACAGCTTTAAACCCGAATATGGTTCAGTTGATGTTAACGGTCATTTATCAGGTGTGTATGTGTCGCTTCTTCCTGTTTTTTCCATTGCACGTATCTCCCAGCATAGATTTGTTCTCCTCAGTTTAACAGCAGCTCATCAGGTGCAGCAGCACAACCTGCTACAGAGCTGCACCCATCATGCATTTAATCAATCATTTTGTTGTCCAGCGCCTAACATGCACGATGTTTTTCCGTCAGCAGAATCATGAATAAAGATGCAATTAAATCCGCAAGCTCCCTCAAATCCTCCTCCATCGTATGTGTTCTGCGCCTTTTGCCTGAAGCGGGTTGTTTATGTGTTTGTTTCGGGTATTAATGATGCCATGGGTTTGGTTTTCTTTTTTTAAAATTTCCTCCAGGCTCCAAGGGTGGAAGCTCAGACGATCCTGGGCTCCCTCGTGTGTTTCCCAAACCTCTACCTCCAGATTCCTATACTGCACCGTGTGCCTGGCTCTGATGACATCAATGTGAGCAATGAGGATATCAAGGTAAACGCTCATGATGTGCAGTGACAGGAATACGGACACTTCATATAAAAGCAGATGCTGTTTTAGTTAGGATCAATCAGTCGTCTGCCGTGTGAATCATGACAAACTTATCCTAAACGTTATAAGATACAGCAGTGTGAACATCACACTGATTTAACATGACTACAAGGCTGTGTTACAGCTAGTGGCGTCTTATTGTTATAAAGATGAAGGAAGGAATGGCTTCTATTGTCACTGAGAACTGTTAACTGGTGTCGTTTCTGTTCAGAATTACTTGGTCAACATCCTGCTGGAGACGGCAACCAAGGAGCACTATGAAGGGGCGAGGTATGATTAGTAATTCTTTTGTTGCACTGTCGAGCCCAAGTAGAGCTGGGCGATATAAGATTTTTTTCATATCACGATATGTTTTTTTCATTTCAGGCGATAACGATATATATATCACGATATAAGCCAAATAACTATATTTGTAAGATTTAAATGTGCCGTTGCTCACAAGTAAAATGTGAAATAATCAGCAGCTTGTTTTGATTTAAATATTTATTTCCCATAATAAGTTCAACAGGGTAGATGTACTTAAGAAACATGAGACTTTTCAGATAAATAAAGGCAAATATTGCAAACTACACAAAAGGCAGCCGCCAAAGCGTTTAAGTTTCAAAATAGAACAAACAAAACAGACTAAATTGTCAATTCCACTTAGAAACAAAATATTCATTCTAAAAATAAATCTTTGTTTTACAGAAGAACAGACAAAATTGACTAACTTTTGTCAACATCAAATAAACTGAGAACTAAAAGGAAATTCTCGATCTCTCCTTGTTGTATAGCTGAGCTTTTCAAACAGTTTTAACAGTTACTTTAGTCTGACAAAAGCCGAATAACGAATTAGCGCTTCCAGTCAGAAAGCGATTTATTGTATTTCCAGACTTGCTTTCGGCACAATTTACAGTGCGCGCTACTCTGTTTGTTGTCAGACTTGAAATAGCTGAAATACCTTCACACTTCGGAGCTTCTGTGGCTCTTCCGTTCAACAATCTCTCCGGTATTGGAACCATCATCTGTTTTCTCTTCGGTAACCTTCGGTCACGCTCTCGGTTGATTTTTCTCTAGTCAGCACACCCATTTCCTCCATTACCCGGGCGGCACGGCGGCTGGCTGCTTCCCAAACAAATACACATGTGCGGCTTGGCACTTGTGCTGTACTTAACAAGTCACCTGACGTGACGCTGCGGCTGTGATTGGTTCGGCTCTGCGCTACTTAATTTGGATTGGCTGTTCTTTTTTTTTTTTTTTCTTTTTTTTAAGAGGCCAAGCTAGATGAGGCCTATCACAATAGTTTAACTTTTCTATCGAGAAAAAGTTATTTCACAATACATATCGTTATCGTTCTATCGCCCAGCTCTAACTGTCTGATATGATCACGTTTTACACACGTTCCAAGAAAAGGTTCGGGAACCTGCTCGTCACTGTTTCTATGTTGATCTCTCCTCGATAAACACAGAATACATATTTTTTAAGAATCTTGTCCACCTGCTTTTGTAATCTTTGGATTACACCTGCCTCTCCTCCTCCTGCTCTATCATATTGTTGTTATTGTCATCATGACATGTTTCCGCAGCCTTTTCCTGCTTCGTTCTTCCACTAAATTGTCATTGAGGCGTTGTTGACACCAGCCAATCATTTCTAAGAGGGGCAGACTAACTAACCACACTTTACCAGCCTCCTCTTTGGAGAAGCACCTCTACAGCCAACACTTCCAATCTCAAAACTCACTCAAGTAGCTTGTGGAGAACTCATTAGCATCGAGGTTCACTTCATTTTTCCAGGCTGCACTGTGAATGATTAGTGTTCAATAAAGACACAAACTGGAGCGCTTTAGTTTGGTTGTACTTTGTTTGTCTACAAATCCGTGCAGACATGTAGTCCAACATTTAGTTTCTCTTTGCAGCTGCACATTTCTGCATACATAAGGAATTTGAAGAGGCTAATGGTGGTGAAGCAGTGGCTACCCGTCATTAAAATTTGATGCAACGCTTCTAAAGCCTGTTTGCAAAAAAAAAAAAAAGTCCAAATGTTCATGGTTTTAATTATACAGTAGTTCTGAAAACATCTGATCCCATTCAGATGCTGCTCTACTTAAATCTGCACATTTTGTCCTCTGCTGCTGCCCTTCAGGTGCATTGCTGTGTGCAGCCTGGGTCTGTGGGTGTGTGAGGAGCTAATGCAAAAGAACATCCACCCCCAGGTTAAAGATGCCATCAATGTTTTGGGAGTGACACTAAAGGTGAGTGAACCTCTGACCCGAGGACGCTGCATTTGCGCATTTCCTGTTTCATGTACAAGAAACTGCAGGTGTGCTTTTTTTGAAATGCTTGCGTCATGTGCTGAGAACGCAGATAAGCCCGCTGTCCTGAAATGAATGAGTGTTGGAAGCTGTTTTTTCTTTTGCCGTGCAAACCTTACATTGTTCATCTCAAACTAAAATGACAGTTGATTACATAAAAGGACTGCAGAGAAATTTTCAACACGGGCAAAAAGTGTGAGAATAAAATGTGACTCGGGGGTATATTCTGGAACAGGCCTTTTTTCTCCCTAAGTGAAGAGATGCAGAGAAGCTGTGGGTTTGTGGGCTTTTTTGGTTTAGTTTCTTTTTTTCTTCCATGGGAAAAGGGTTTGGGGCGGTGGCGTAATTTCCAGGCTGCTCACTCTCAGTAGATGTGGGCCAATTTAAGCAGCTACATCTCCCAGCTTCCTGCTCGAGCAAAGCCCCCACCCATCCCCTCGCCCCCTTCTCTAATGGAGCAGTAATCACTCCCCTGTACAACTTGACACACAGACTCAGCCAGCCCCAAAATAGAGGGTATATGCTGGGTGGGGGATCTAGGGGGAAGAGTGGCACTGAGAGTCTCTTTTCTAAAAGCAGGTGCTGAACTCTCAGGGCCCCTTTTTGTGTTTGGCCATTTCTGCACTCCCCACATTGTCTGCCCTTGTTACATGTTGAGAGGCATTCAGCTGGAAGAAATAGGAAATTCTATTTCTCCACAAAGAATTTCAAATCACTGAAGAAATCCACATTTGAAAGAAAATTGTCAACAGCTCAATTCTTTCCTTCAATGAGTCTGGGGAAAATGAACCATGGTTTGAAGTGAAATGAAATTATGCTGATTATCTGCACAGTAAGTGCAAAACTAAATTTAAGGAAAATTACTGCAAATTTTGGCACAGTCAGTGTGTCCCCAAACTTTTTTCCCTGTCTTTAATCAGCATTGTCCCTCTGCTGCTTTACAAATTAGGTGACACAAATGCAGCAAGAGATTTTGTTCCTGCGTCACTCTCTGGAAGCTCTGAAAGAGACATTTAAAAGCCTTAAAATCAGGGATTCTGCAGATAATTAATGTTCTTAAGATCACACATTACATTCAAAGTACTTCTGTAGTTCGAGCGTCTTTAAAAAAAACTGGCCCATTTTTTAAGTGTAAGGAGAGGCTCCACTGAGGTTTATGTATCTGCAAAATTTAAAGAGTATCATGATAAAACACGTTCTTTCCTGCAGTGTTTAGATTGAAAATGAACTATTGGTTAGATTAAAAGTTCCAATGAAGATAAACATAAAAAAATGGTTGTTTTTGGGGGTTTTTGAAGCATGACTCCCCAGGTTTTTGTCAAACCTGATAGCCGATGTCATACCAGAATGATTTGACCATGTTCCAAAAAGCTTCTTGTGATGACAGGAGAGCTTGACTTTCTCGCTCTTCAAACACGAGGTCAGCTGAGTCGAGGTCATTGAGGGTGGAAGAAAGTCTACGACAGTAGCTCCTGCACAGCTCTGGGATGTGTTTGGACGGGAGTGTGAATCCTTGTTTGCAGAGATGCAAATCAGAGGGTGGAGCATGTCTCTGCAGAATCGAGAGGAGTTGATATTCCCATCAGTCTTTCTTATCCTTCTGTTACTGCCGTAGGTTTCAGAGATGGATTCATCTGTAATCAAGTGTGAAATGCTGGTATGTCTTAGCCCAACCTAAGCATTTGGCCTTGTTTCCCCTCCTGAAAAGCAGTTTACTGACCTTTAACTTTGCTTTTTTCAAGTGTCAGCAGACTTTTTTTCTTCAAGTCTGCCTACCTGATCCCTTTTCCTAAAAGTGTTTCAGAGGTCTTACTGTGGGTACTGTCCTCTTACAAGTCTTCAGTGTATTTTACCCTCTTTGACACTGAAACTTGTCTTACTTCTGATACCTCGATCACATCATGTTATTTAACTCTGCTGGAAACTTGAGGCACTTGAAGTAAGATTTTGTTGAATAAGCCTCTTGTGAATTGATCAAATCCACCTCTTAAAAAGGTCAGTGCCACAAAGCTCCTACAGCTCCACCTTAATGCTCCTACAGCTCCACCTTGATTAAAACAAAACATCTTAAATGTCTTCCTCCATTGTATATAAATTTTATATCCCTAGACTTACTGATTATCTTCAGTTTGACATGAAAACATGACAGATATTCAACATTGTACCAGGGTCCCACTATACGCTTGTACATGTGTGAATACACACATCTGGCATTGCATTAGTTAAATCTTTCTAATACCAGGCTGGACCCTCTTTAACCTTGAGAACTGTTTTAATTCTGCAAGGCGCAGATTCAAGGTGCAGGAAGCATCCCTCAGAGATTTTGGTCCATATCAACATGATAGCATCGCACAGCTGCTGCAGATGTGAATCTGCTGCTCCACCACATCCCAAAGGTGCTCAAGTGTGCTGAGATCTGGAGACTATGGAGGCCATTTGAGTGCAGTGAACTCATCGTCGTGTTCAGAAACTGTTTGTGCAACACACTGTGTCCCAAAGTTCAAATCAAAGCGTGGCTAACAACAATAGTCAGTTGGTACCGAGGGGTCCAAAGTGTGCTAATAAAGTATCGCCCAACACCTGTGCTCTACCAGCAGCAGCATGAACTATTGATACAAGGCATAATGGATCTTTCATGTTGCCCGCTCTAATTGTTAGCCAGCTATCCAAATGTGGCAGAAGAAACAGATATTCATCAGACCGGGCAATATTTTTACAATCTTATATTGTACAATTTTGAGTCTGTTCAAATTATAGTCAGAGTTTCATGTTCTCAGCTGACACCTGGCGTGATCTGCTGCCGTAGCCCGTCTGCTTCAAGGCTCGACACGTTGTGCATTCAGCTGCATTCAGCTCTTCTGCATATCTTGGTTTGAATGAGCGGTTACGTTAGTTACTGTTGCTCCCATCAGCTCAGCTGTTGTGCTCTGACCTCTGGCAGGAAGACGAGAACTACTGCTGACTATATTTTCTCTGTTCACTGTAAACTTTAGAGATGGTTTGTGGGAAAATCTCAGCAGATCAACAGTTTCTGAAACACTCCGACCAGCCCGTCTGACACCAACAACCACCCCACGTTCAAACCTTTCTCCTCCTTTCTAATGCTCAGTTTGAACTTCAGCAGGTTTTCTTGATCACGTCCACATACCTATATGCATCAAGTCACAGTGGTCCCTCGCTATAACGTGGTTCACCTTTCGCGGCCTCGCTGTTTCTGGGATTTTTTTGGTGCAATTTTGCAGCTTTTTTTTCTTACACCGCATTGTGTTCTGCTTCCTGATTGGCTGTAGACCATTGTCAATCAACCTCGTGCCATGTCTCCTGTACAGTACAGAATGTGTTCAGCTTGTCAAATTTACATAAATCTTCGATCGCTAGCAATGCGACTTTGAAGTGCTGCACTGTGTGTTTGTAAGTTTTCTCACCCACAAACACAAAAACGCCGATGAAACGTCGTCACCTGCAGGTGTCTTTGGTCTCATTCTATAATACTGGACTTATTTTTCTACAAAGGTTTGAACTTTGAGTGTTTAAACGAGAGAGAAAAGTGAAAATGTTCATGCCTGTCTGAGAAAAGTGTACAAAGTGTGTAGTGGGGGGGTTTACAGCCTTAACACATCCAATTGTAAAAAAAAAATAAAGTTGGCTACTTCACGGATTTCACCTATCGCGGGTTATTTTTGTAACGCAACTCCCGCGATAAACGAGGGACCAATATACTGCCATGTGATTGGATAATTAGATAGA